GTTTGCTGAACAAAGACAAATGTTTTTCTCAATCTCGTCATCAACTGAGAACTCGTTTGCCCATCAGAAAATGACACGACTTTCTACATATTTCTGGTATGTAACCTGCATTATGCATCAGTGCCAGTACCCTTGCATGCTGTTCAACAATCGTTCATGGTCCTCCTTCAAAACGAAGATTTCCCTGTCCCTTAGAGGAAATGAAATGACTGACAAGATGAGTATCAGAAACTCTATTGAAGGAGGAGTTCGTTCGCGACTCCAAGCAGCGGAGTCATGGAAATCCACCTGTTCAACTCGAATTGGACAGTACTCTTACTGGAGATGATGAAAATGAGGTATTCAACTGGTAAACCTCCTCAGCCATTTCGCCTCCACGCCCTTCCCTGTTCCGCTGCTCTGCAGGGGGTTTCCTCGCAACTTTCGATTGGTTTGCATAAGGAAGAGGGTGGCATTTGCAACCGGAGTGCGTATCGAAAAAATCGGGTGCAAACTGCACCTCGCATACAATTCAGCAGCAAAGTATCGTCTACTTGCTCCAGACGAGCAAGATGTCTGACCGGATTCCTTGAGCCGCGTTTCTATTTTTAAGTAAAACTTTCGCTTATGCTCAGATAAAATTCTATAATCAACACTTCATGCTAATAATGACGATCGCACTTGAACGACTTTTCTGTCTGGATCTTGATGACAGTCTTTAGGGCAAAATAAAAAGTGGCTGCGGCTCATAGGTGGTTTCCTTCAGCTGGCATCGTTCGACGGCATTACGTACCTTCATTACAACTACGACAAAGCTGGAAGGCACACAATTAATATCGTACATCAAATATCTCAGAAAAGATTAATCTAAAAGCGAAATTAAATCATTAAAATATGTCACGTGTTCGACAAAGAGGAAGTACAATGGACACTATCAAGTCTAACATTTCAGATACGACATACTGAGGTGTTAAGCTGAGTCGCAGTAAAGACTGCAAAACCCGCTCCTGGGCAAAAGGTCTATCGATGGAGCAATGCTGGTATTAAATTAAGAAGGTCAATTTGAGTACTTCTGATGCAAAGACGTCAAGCAGACTGAAGGAAAGAGTAGTTAGGGAAATAGAATATTTTGAGGGCACTTCAGATCAGTATTATTTTATGCATAAGCACGCTGCCCAACGTTGAGAAGAAAGCTGCGCGGCGACAGCGAGGTCCGCAAGGTAGTATCTGAGTTTATTATGCGACAACTGGCTGAAATCAAGCTGTCAAACAGATTTATTTGGGGCGAGTGAAACAGAGGTAGTAACTGATAGACCGCAGTGCCAGAAACATAGACTTATAACATCATGGTAGAATACAGGAATAATTAAGATATAACGAGTGTAGGACTTTCTTGTCAAGTGGAAACGTAACAGTTCAGGGATTTCAGTTACTTTAAATCAATATGCCACGTCAATGATATCAAAATAATATTTTAAATAATGAATCTTACTTAATTCTACCTTATCATACAAAGTTCAAGGCAATGTCAAGGAGACAACTTAGCATCAAATATCTGCTCCATGTACAAATTTTCAATAAACTTAATGCTTTATTAAAAAATTCTGAGATTAGCGTTTTTCCTAGGCTGGGTGTACAAGTTGGCGTATAAGTGGTGAAAAAGTCACATAAGTAAAACAGGTAACATCGTCACTCAGAGGAAAAAGACCCAC